GGGGGGGGGGGGGCAGCTTTCTGCCTTTAACCTACCGCCCAACCTCGATCTGCTGGCAATGCCCCTACTTATACAGCCCAAAATGCCGTTAGCCTTCTTGGCAACAAGGGCACACTGTCAACTCATATCCAGCTTCTCGTCCACTGTAATCCCCAGGTCCTTTTCTGCAGAACTGCTGCCTAGCCATTCGGTCCCTAGTCTGTAGCAGTGCATGGGATTCTTCCGTCCTAAGTGCAGGACTCTGCACTTGTCCTTGTTGAACCTCATCAGGTTTCTTTTGGCCCAATCCTCTAATTTGTCTAGGTACCTCTGTATCCTATCCCTACCCTCCAGCGTATCTACCTCTCCTCCCAGTTTAGTGTCATCTGCAAACTTGATGAGAGTGCAGTCCACACCATCCTCCAGATCATTAATGAAGATATTGAACAAAACCGGCCCCAATACCGACCCCTGGGGCACTCCGCTTGAAACCGGCTGCCAACTTTTTTCTAAATAGTCCTGAACCACTTCTTTCTCCACAGAGGGCTGGTCACCTTCTCCCCATACTGTGCTGCCCAGTGCAGCAGTCTGGGAGCTGACCTTGTGCATGAAGACAGAGGCAAAAAAAATCATTGAGTACATTAGCTTTTTCCACATCCTCGGTCACTAGGTTGCCTCCCTCATTCAGTAAGGGGCCCACACTTTCCTTGATTTTCTTCTTGTTGCTAACATACCTGAAGAAACCCTCCTTGTTACTCTTAACATCTCTTGCTAGCTGCAACTCCAAGTGTGATTTGGCCTTCCTGATTTCACTCCTGCATGCCTGAGCAATATTTTTATACTCCTCCCTGGTCATTTGTCCAATCTTCCACTTCTTGTAAGCTTCTTTTTTGCGTTTAAGATCAGCAAGGATTTCACTGTTAAGCCAAGCTGGTCGCCTGCCATAGTTACTGTTCTTTCTACACATCGGGATGGTTTGTTTCTGCAACCGCAATAAGGATTCTTTAAAATACAGCCAGCTCTCCTGGACCCCTTTGCCCTTCATGTTATTCTCCCAGGGGATCCTGCCCATCAGTTCCCTGAGGGAGTCAAATTCAGTGTAACAGCATTTCATTTATTTTATTAAATAAAACTACCTTAAATGTGCTTGATACAGAAGAAAAAATAATACAAGCTATTTGGCATGTACCCATAACCGCCTGGTTAAACACAGCTCGCATTGCTGGAGTTAGTGACCGGTCACCCTGCCTGTCCGACTCCTCCCGGAGTTAGCACCAGCCGCGCTGTTCCCCTCGCACCCTGTGATTCACAGACTGCAGGAGGAAAACGAACTTTCCCGCTTGTCCAACTCCCAACCGGTTTCTTAACGCGAGCTAGTCCCTGAACTCACTGTACCTGCAAGCGGCTACCGCTGCCAAACGCTGGGGCGAGCCCTTCCGCCCCTCTGGGTCCAGGGGCCTGGCCAGCGCCGTCCGCGGCTCGGCTGGTTTCCTGGATCCCACCGCCGGGCGGCAGCTGCCCTGCTCGCAGCGGTGCGCTCGGGGGTGGCGATACAAAGCCGCAGGCTCCAGGCCTGGACCCGGGCTGTGGATTTCAGGTTGGATTGTAGCCGGAGCTCCTGGTACC